TCTGTGGCAGATGGAATGCATCCGACTCATGTTCAAGATGTTCAATAGACATGTTAAGTGCATATATATTCCCTTTTTTCTTAAGTCTGTTTGCTCATGCAAAATGAAATGTGATTAATATAGATTAAAAATGAATATTTAATCGTGATTAATCGAAATTAATCCACAGCAACCCTGTGATTAATCTGATTAAAATTTTTAATCGTTTGACAGCACTAATAAAAATATAATGAATATATAATTTGAAAAAATAGCTAGTGCTGTGCAATGTAAAAAAAAAAAACACACACACACACACACAAAATAATAATGGGGGGGGGCTCAGGGTCCCCCATGTGGTATGTGTGTGCTGTGTCTGATTATAATGTGTTTGTGGATGTTGGTGTCAGCAGTTCAATTGCCTGAAGGCTTGTGGATAAAAACTCTAAAGCTGCCACCCTATCTGGACCCGGATCTTTAACTGATAGATTATCGAGAATTTTTGGATTTTGATGGAGCATTTTTATTTCCAGTGGCACAGCTTTTCTAACCTCTGTGGCCCTTTATTTAGCAGCCCAGGAAGCTCACAGACCAGTTGCATGTCTTGGAAATCATCTCAAGTGTTGCTGCTCACCCAGTTAAAATCTGTGCTTTCTGATCAACTATTGTTAGTGAGTGACAAGACTCACTGACAGGAGAGACAAAATATGACAGTCAGAAAAATGAGTCAAAGGTAAGTAATTTCACGTGGTGTACTCTGAAAAGAGTGGGCAGACTCTTTCCTTCTTTATTCTTCCCACTAGCAATTAAAAACCAGTTTGTCTTGTATTTTCTGAGATCGTGGCGATTTATTGAAAGTGGCAATATGAAGCACCACTATGAGACAATGCACTGATCTTTTGAGTAAAAATACATACTCAAAAACAAATTGAGGGCACAGAAAAAGAGCCCAGTACAATCAATCCACCAGAATACAAACACATTCACTGCTCAACAAAAATCCATTAAAGTTGCCTGGATTTTGGGTCATCAAAAAAACATTTCTTTTTAATTGGCAGAGGGGTTAACAAGTAGTGCATGAGTGTGGTAGTTGCAACATTACTTTAAGGAAAAAAGAGTTTTGTGAAAAAAATCAAGCAAATACATGTCAGCATCATCAGCTAGATAGGGAACTGCAATATTATCCCAGGATGTCCTACTGCAGCTAATTGAAACAATTCAGGCGACACTTTGTGTAGACTTAGCTATAGAGTCCACTTATGTGTCAATGCTCAGCTGCTAGTTTATGTAAGGGTCTTCAACAATGAGAAGAAAGTCTTCTGTGAAGACCTGTTAGGTGTTATACCCCTTCAGACCAGTACAAGAGGAGAATATACAGTTGTGCTCAAAAGTTTACATACCCTGGCAGAATTTGTGATGTTTTGGCCATTTTT